ATTTATACACACACCAATAAATAATAATTAATAGGAAATTAATGAATTCACAATTTTTATTAAAATGTAGGAAATAAAACAAACACCACATATGTGGCACTTTTGAAAGAAAATATGTACAAATATGATCACAAAGTCTCAGTAAATAAAAAAATAAAAAAAGGATGTAGAATTGATGTGTGTGCGTGGCGAACGTAACAGCATGAAGGAAGAGAAACTGTGCCTACTGCTTAGCTTGAACTATGCTTTCACATCATTACAAATGTATTCTGTATAGTGAAATGGTCTACTGGCACGAGCCATTTCACAGTATAGAATGTTTGTACTAAATTGTACATTAACATATTTTCTGCTCCGACGTGTTCCGTTTTCAGTATTACTACATTCGTGTTAATTTTAGCACTTCGAATATGGACTGACAGAGCTGTGATGTGATGGTACAATTATGAGCCAAATTGAAAAGATAAAAATAGAGAAGCACAGTTAATCTGCGAGAAATAAAACAGAGACTCTCCGAGCGATACAAAGGTTTGCTCGCATCAATATGCGACGGCACTGCTCTTTATAAGTGGCTTAAATCCTCGGCAATACCTAGGACTTTATTTTCATTACTTCTGTGATTATTACTATCATTATCACATTTATCTGCAACTGCTAAAGGGTTTGTTCACATGAGAGGACATGGGTATATATTGAGATTTCTGCGCATTTGTTGCTGGAGAACAGGATTTAATGGAAGTCAACAGTCTTCTAAAAGTTTTTTTTTTCTTTTTAACTACCTCCGGGCCGGCCGTAGTAAAAAAACCGGCCGGCCGGGAGCTCTCTAGATCTGAGTGGGCGCCTTTAGACGTCCGCCCAGACACGCCCGCGAGCGGGAAATGGCCGATATTTAAAAACAGGCAGTGATGCCTGTTAACATACTGTACAAGCGATCCGCTGGCTGTAGAGCCGGCGGATCGCTTGTATGTTGCAACGATCGGTGCGCCCCCTCCACTGTCCCCCACGCCGTTGTCCCGCTGTTACCGGTCCCCTCTCCTCTGAAAGAATGTGGAAGTGTTGTATATTACATCACTTCCGCATTCTTGTGTCACTCTCCAGCTTCGGAAGCTGGAAAGAAGCTGATGGAGCAGATCTGTGCTTCATCAGCTTCTTTTGGGGGGTCCTAGGTGACATTATGGGGTCTTGGAGACCCCTGATGTCTCCATAAAGAGGACCTGCCACATATTTAGCTATCACATAGGGGGGTTTTATTAGCCCCGTATGTGGTAGCAATAAAGTTCAATGAAAAAAAAAAATGAAAGTCACCCCCCCAAAAAAAATGTAAGTAACACATAAAAAAATAATTAATAAAAAAAAATTAAAGTCCCCACCCATACATACACGCATGCAAACAGGTGTCCGGGGCGCATACGTGGCAAAAAAGACGATTGCGCCCATTACGCCGCACATGTTACATATCGCTGCGAACGCCGCAGTGAGAGCAATAAGTCTAGGGCCATCAATCACTGATAACACTAAACTGATGAGCAGTAAAAGCTTTTAAAGTGTCGCCTATGGCCAATTTTGGGTATGGTAGTTTTCTGCGATTTCGCGGGTGCGCGCAATTTTAAAGCTTGACATGTTTGGTGTCTATTTACCCGACGTGACCCCGACTTTTATATTTTACCAAAAAACTGGGTAATAATAAATGTTTCCTAACATAATGTTAAAAAAAAACTTTTTTTTCCACAAATTTTCGGTAATTTTTCATAATTATAGTAAAAAATAAAAACCCCAGTGGTGATTAAATACCACCAAAATAAAGCTCTATCTGTCCCCAAAAAATGGTATAAAATTAATTTCAGTACAGCGTTGCATGACGGAATAAACGTCAGTCAAAGTACCGCAGCGCTGAATACTGAAAAATGGCCTGGCCAGGAAGGGGGCCTGAACACCTGGTCTTGAAGTGGTTAAATTAAGAAGTAGGTAAATGGAATGACCTTAAAGGAGGTTTAAAGCGAACATGTGCTTTGCTTATGCATAGCAAAGAAACAGGTCCACATAAATGGTTGCCCACGCAGCTGCTTAAACTCACCTTCTCTTTCTAAAGAACAAAGCTATTGCATTTCCCTTTGGGATCAAAGAGTAAAAGCCATGTGTAAGCTCCATGTTGGTCTGTTTAGAGATATCTCAGTGCTAAGATCTCTCTTTCTGCCCCTATGTGACATTTGTGGACATGGCAATTGGCCACTTAGGTTCCCAGTGCTGTATCATGGGAGATACACACGCTCGCCAATACTAAGAAGTAAAAGGCACTCCTTTTTGCTTTAGGCAGACAAAAGGAGCAGTGTGGGAGTAAAGGTAAAGTAAGAATGTGTGGGAAAATGGCGGTGGACATGAAAGTGTTGTTGCTTTACACTGCATACGGCATAGGCAAAGCACAGGTTAACTTTATAGCAGAATTGCTGGGTGGTATACTGCCATATTGTGCAAGTTTGCCCCCCTCTAGTGCTGTCTGATCCAGACTGTCAATATCCAATCCATCCCTTGCCACCATTTCCTCCACAGGAATTTGGTGGCTACTGATGATGTAATCCTAATCATGCACAGAGGAGGTACATCATTCCCATCACCCAACTCTTTTCCAGGCATCTCCATGACCCAGGAGTGTACTTCTCAGTGCAATCATCATACATTGTACATAGAAAATAAAAAAATTCCTAGGGGAAAGATAGGACATTGTCAGATAGGATGCTGCATGCCTCTTCTACCAAAGATATCCAGCTCATAGCAAGCTTTTATTTTCAGAGTTTAGTTCCAATTTAATTTGTTAAGTCTAGAGAGCTAAAATGGTCTTCTATTTAGGGAGAATGTAACAACACCATCTCTCCCCTTATTTTGATTGGTGGGGGTTACACATCGGAAACATGTACTAAATGGTTTTCCCGATCTGTTGAGTAGATGTGGGGCCACCACAGCTCACTCTTTTGAGGTTTGTTCAGATGCAATTAGAAGCCCTTGCTTTTTGATGGGTTTTTGAGATCTATCTGCAGCTGGGTGACAAAGCCAGCATTGAAAATCAGTAGGTTTCTGAAAGTGGTTGTGGTCTTCAAAGTAAATTGGACAAGTTTGCTGAGTGCTAGTTGGCAGGGTGTTTTTGAGGGCATCTTTGGGTTCAGTGTAGTGGTTTTCCATGTTCTCTCTTCTTAAAATCATCGTATGGCTCCTAATGTATCACTGGTACTCTATTGGTGAGATATCTGCGCTCCAGAGTCTGCACAACTGCCTCGGCTATTATGAGAAGCTCCCAATCTTCTTGCTGGATTCTTCATTTATTAGTATTAGGTGGAATTAACACCCCAAGGTGAACAGGAACACAAAAAATTGAACATGAACTAAACTAGGAACTACGTTGCTTCCGGATTCCTCAGATTCTACCTAAGCCAGAAACTTTTTGGATTGGATTGATCCCTTCATAATGTGCTTCTGGGAAGAACTGCATCTTTTGTGGCTTTGACATTTCCCTATCTCACTCTGAAAAGGCAAGAAAATTGCAATGAACAAACAATGTCACAGTCACATGGCTCAATAATCAGTCTTCCAGAATACCAGATTACTAGCCAAAGGGTAATTTAAATTGATAAGATGGTATGATATACTACAGATTTTCCTAGAAGAAAAACAGATACTTTGCCCAGATATTCTATGTACCGTATATGAATTTTAAGGCTTCTTTTCATTTTGACTGAAGTGTTCCTTAAAGTACATATCAGGGAAAAGATATATGGAGAACATCTTTGCAATCCATGCATATGTTCCCATATTTTATCCCTTTAAAGTTCCTGCAAGTACAGAAAAATACATGTTGATCTAGCAGAAATGCACTCAGCTCTTAAGGCATTGACAAGTCCAAGAGATGATCTGGGAGAGCTAATTAGACTCTTTGAGATAACAAAGGAAGAGTGCAAAGGATAAAGGGAAGCTCTGAACATCTGACATGGTCAACAAGTATTTTTTGTGCTTATCAAACAGATATAACAAAATGGTTGCAATGGTGTATTTAACCTATAAAAGGTAGCAAATAAGATAAGTTTATTGTTACGGTTTACATACATTTTAAAACAGACCTCACAGGCTCAAATAGGCAAAGGTGATGTCACTTGGACTTCTTGCATGATCCCGGGAAAGATGAAGAATTCATATCTTGTGAGAATGTGCTCCTGTGTGTCGTCTCACAAGATTTGGGATATTTGGCTTTCTAAGGACCCCACAGTGACAACAGCATTACCTAGAGGAAGTGGCCAGGAAACGCACTGTAAGGTGAGTATATTATACAATTTTTTTTCAATTGATTTTTTTATGGCTTTCACTTTCACTGCCTTCCACTGTATTTGTTTTAATCACCTTTAGGGCTTGTTCACACCAAGCGCGTTCCAGGAGCAGAGCAGATCTGTTACAGACCGGATCAAAACTGCGTCCAATGTATTTCAATGGTATTTTGGGCTCTAGTTCACACTGCAGCGTTCAGTTCCAGAGCATGTAAAAAAACTGCAGCAAGCCCTATTTTACCTGCTCTGGAACGCATGCAAATGCATAAAACGCATGCAAACACATTTTTTTAACCAAAAACAACCCTGAACGCATTTGGTGTGAACAAGGCCTTAAAGAAAAAAATCCAGGTTTTAATAAAATGAACCCTTGCAGTGGGGCTACTAGTGGAGCTTAGATCGACTGAGCCCAGAGAAGAAGCTGTGGGGACTGGTTTAGCAGACAGGCAGCATCAAGAAACTGGTGTGTATTTAGTCTTTATTTAAGCCCCTAGAGAAAATAATGAACAGTTAACCCTTGCAGTGCAGGGGTAGCCCGACTGCCAGGGTTAATTTTTTCTAAAACCTGGAGTTCTTCTTTAACTCTCTCTCTCTCTCATTAATATGGATACAATAGAAATCCCATGGACGAGCCTTGTTTAGTATTAATAAATAATCTTTCAACACCTGCTTACCATACATTTCTCTTCCCAGATCACAACACTGTCAGGAAGTGAAATCCTTCTGCAGTCGGATGTAGACATCACCATAAAAGAATGGTTCCACGCCATCCGAAATACAATTGACAGTTTGGTATGCATGCGTTTGTTACCTTTATTTTACGCTTTCAGAAGTCTTGCCTGTTTATGTGCTTTAGTGGATAGCCAAAATGACAGACATGCAGACGAAAACAAACAGTGCTTGCCGTCAATAATGAAATAATTATATGCAGATTATTTGGAGAATTAGTCATTTGTTTGGTATTTTGAAGGAGGCGAAATGATGTATGTGAGAACGCCTCATTTTTATTGAAGGTTTGCGGCACAAAAACTTCCATTCTTCTGGTCAAATAGAAGATTTGTTTGCACATTCAGTTGAGACAGTGCAGAAAGTGAAGAGGATGTGCCATGTGTAGTAATCCATGTACCAACCAGATGGAAAGTCAGTTTCTTTTGCAAAGCCTGACTGGGAAG